AGAATGTTTGTCCTAGCTGTAGAGTGGGAAATAAGTTAACAAGTACTAAATGTTCTCCAAACCTATCCAAAGGCTTTTCAAAATAGAACATTCAACGCTAGGTGTAATAACACAAATTATAGATTATAGTTAAGACACATAACTAAAGTGTCTGTAGATAACATAATTGATATAATTAATTCATAAGTCACACATACACAAACACTCATGCCATCTTTTGTAAAAAACTTACATTAAAAATATTTTAAAGGTTAAGGCTAAGGCTCTACCTCACTTATTAAAGCACATGTCGAGTGCAGGAGGCTCTGCATTCCATCTTCAACACCATTAAAAAATAAACCCAAGTTGGGCGTTGGTGGTGCACGCCTTTAATCCCAGCACTCTGGAGGCAGAGGCAGGAGGATCTCTGTGAGTTCGAGGCCAGCCTGGTCTACAGAGTGAATTCCAGGATAGCCTCCAAAACAATACAGAGAAACCCTATCTCAAAAAAACAAGAAAAAAATAAAAGAAAAGAAAAATAAACCCAGATGCAAAGCAAAGCAAAAATCTAAAGAAAAATCTAGAGTTATATTTTCATTCACATTTAGAATCTGTATCTCCAGCAAAAAGTTTTATAATGTTTCTTGCAGTCAATATGTCATACATTAAATGCAATCACAACAATCCATAGAAACATAAAAGTTATATGAAGTATATACATATCTTCAACTTCACACATCACCACTAATCACCAGCACTAATTAATACAAAATATAGCCATACCCTCCAATGGTTCTCATCCTTCCTAATGCTGTGACCCTTTAATACAGCTCTTCTTTTTGTGGTGACTCCAATCATAAAATTATTTCCTTGTTATTTCCTAACTGTAATTTTGCTGCTGTTATGAATTGTAATGTAAATATATAATATGCATGATATCTAATATGCAACCCTTGTGGAAGGGTCATTTAACACCAAAGGGACTGAGACCCACAGGTTGAGAACCTTTGGTCCAAGACCCTTTTTATTTTTCTCAGTGTATCGTATCTGCATATTCTGAAGCTGCTTTCAATCCAAGAGAAAACTTCTCTCAAGAAATGTAATTGTTCTTCCAGAAAATATTCCAGTGATCTTAGATCCTTTCTTGCAACTGCCATTTATAGCAATTTTATCTATAACAGAGAATACTGGAAACATTTTTTCAAGTTTTGAATCATTGAGTGTTAAAATCAACATTAAACAAGAGCCAATTTTCCCTGTTAAGTATCATCATCAAAGAATGGATTTCTAGAAGGTAAAAATAAGTAAGAAATTTTACTAAGCCAATTTTATTAAAAATTTATTATTTAACATTAGTGGAAAATTTAAGGCCTGATATTATAGTAACACGTTATTCCTGCAATGGGATATCTGTCATATTAAATAAAACTCACCTTCAAAAAGTGAGTTCAGGATGGAGACAAGATCATGTCAGACTTGCTTTTAGAAGAACAAGTAATATAAAACGAGCCATAATGTTTTCTTTTTTAAAAAAATGATTGCCTAATACTAAAATTAATAATTATATGCATTAAAATAAGTTTTAAACTTGAACTTAAAATTAATTTGAAAAAAATCTTGTTCTAAAAAAAAAGGAAATCTTCAGTGTAATTTTTTTATTTTTTAAACAATCTTATTTTACATACCACACCAATCCCAGTTCTCTCCTCTCCTGTCCTCCCACTCCCTCCACCTTCCGCCCACCCCACCCCCATCCACTACTCCAGGAGTGTGAGGCCTCACACTCCTGTGTGATCACTGCCTAAGGAGAGATAACTTCCTGGAATGCTGGAGGCTGCTGTTCATGTAAAATAACAAGCTATGTGTTTTTCCTTCTGTAAACAAACTTAGCGGCCCCAATTGCACAGGATGTGCTTGATCACATGTAGATGGGAGGTATAGAGGCAGGAAGTACATCAGGATGTATGCTTGCCCTTGACTAGGCAAAGGAAAGAATTAAGTAGCCTTGCAGGTTTTCTTTTATAAATCTTTCTAATATAATTTGGTGCCATACCCTGGTATCCCAGGTATGGGCTTGGCTAGAGTCTATCATCCTGGCTAGCATTTAGTAAACATTGCTGCAAATTTGGCTCAGAACTCATGGTGGTGGTATTATTTTTTCTTGGTGGAGTTAAAACCACAGCCTAATTTAAGATAATAGTGTATGCACTCAGTTGCTTGACACACAAGCATCCTCAAGGGAAATAACTGCCAAGTTTGTGCTGCTAAATGCAAGCAACAAAAGATATGTTCCAAATGTCAATATTTACTACTCAGTTAGAACTGAGCTTACCCACAGTACTATAGAACCACACACACATTAATATGCATTAGTAATGCAGGCTAATACAACCAAAAATTAAAAAAATAACTTGTTAATCAAATCTGTACTCTAGGGAGAAGGGAAAATAGGAGATATCATTTAAATAATAATGTAAAATAAAATAAGTTAATCTTTACTAAATCAGTTGAAAATATAAATGTGAATGACTTAAACTGATGTTTTATTTCATTTCAATATTATTAAGAAATAATAACTAACATGAGAAAAACTTTTAAGTGGAATAAAATATTTCCTTAGATTTATATTAGTGAGCTAGAATGTCTCATAAAAGTTTATTTGTATTTAAAATTACTGGTTACTTCACAATCTTGAACAGGTAAATTTTCATTTTAGTAGCAGAATGTTATTTATATGAGTTTAGACAGTGCAGAATTTACAAACATGCATTTTTAGCTAGTAATGCTTTGTAATACTGTAATTGAAAACCTAATGCAGGACAGACATTTCATATGTTGGCCTTGGGCAGCATGTGGGTAGCAGGCTGGAGTCACAAGCACTCCGCCTGCCCGCTATGTGGGAGTCATCATAATTAGCAGCGCCTCTGACAGGAACAATAGCCCGTCATCTGGATATGATAGCCACTTCTTTAAATCCCGGCCATCTGAATTCCTTTTAAAATGTCAACCCTGAGATGTTCTTCAGTAATTGGAACAACATTTTTAAGCTTCTAAAATTACAAAAATAAACCTTAATCATTGTTAAATAAATTGTTCATTTGGAAGTTGTTTTGTAATTAAGGGGTTAGTGGCATAAATCAAAACAGATTATGGTATTATTCACCGTGAGTTATATACCATATGTTTTGTGCATTCATTGAAAAATTTAAAAGATGACTGTCATTATCTAAGCCATCTAGCAAGAAGCTGATTTGGGTCTCACACAAGCTGTCATTTCTGGGACTATAAGAGCCCCTTTGTGATGCAGGTACTACTTACTGTTCTTTTCTGCTGCATTGGGGAACAAAGAGAACTAGAAGGAAGCAAACAGTGAGTTGATCTTTGGCTCAAAAGGAGCAACTCCCAAACACTTGCAACATTTTCCTCAGACCTTTTCAGGAGTTGTGAGACCACTGTCACTTTTAGCCAACAAGAGATTGTTTTCTCCATTTTATAGAGACCCTGGAACTTTTCCCAAGTAGTAAAACCCATCTCATAAAAGTACACAAATAGTGCTGGTTATATTGTCAGGCTCAATAGAGTACATTAAAATAAATGAACAAATAAAAAGAAGAAAATTATTGTAGGAGAACACTCATTTATTTCAGTATTTTGTAATTCTTGCTTTTTTCATGGCACTGGGTAAAACTTTCCAAACCTCTACAAACATTTGGGTCTAGAAAGAGGACTGATAGATCCTTGTTTGTCATTTAGTCTTTATCTAGCCAAACCATTAGCATAATTATCACACTGAACTGTACATGCCAGCATCATGCGCGCCCTTGTAAAGGTGCCCTCTAACTTCTTGTGCCACATGATGTTTAAAAGACACATACAGAGAGAGCTTTGGGATCCCACAGTTCCCAGAACTGTTAACCCTTTTACAGAAGTACTTTAAATGCTACTTTACCAGCACTCCAGGCAGGGTCATCTCTCACTAGATTACTACAATAGCTTTTAATGTATCTCCCCATCCCTTTCTTTTTCTTCACTGCAACTTCACAAAAGCCAGAGTATAACTTTTACAAACATCAGATCAGACCTAAAAACTCTTAGAAAGGCTTCCATCTAATTCATAAAAATGGGCAGACCCTTCAACCCTCTGACTCCCTACAGTTCCTGGTCCATCTCCTTCCTCTTTTCTCCCTGCCCTGCTTTCCAGCCCACTGAGATTCTTGACACCACTTGAGGCCTGTGCTGTGCTTTCTACCAGGAGTGGGCTCCACAGAGGCGTCTCCGTGTTTACTCTCTTCACACACTGTCTCAGATCTTTATTCTGAGAGCACTTTCACAACGTGCTGGGATACCTGTGTCTTTGTATGATCTGTTTCGTCTTGAGCATCCTATTTAGATTACAAATTAGCTTGAAACTCTGCTTAGTTTTTCTTTGTAGCCAGTGTCATTTCTGTCAGGCTTCTAATGTACCGATTCTGTTTATTTACCTCTTCCCATTGCCATGGAAGTTCCATCAGGAAGTATCCAACTGCTGTCTGCCCTTCAACGTGTGGAGTGTTGCCTGGTACTTGGGTTGTGTCCGATAATTTAAAAAAATTTTTCCTGGGACTTAGAAGTCTATTTTCAAGAGTATAAATGAGTATTTCATATGTTAAAAGATTTTTATATACTTAATGTGGAAAAGGCTTAGGATATATTGTGCATTTACCATTGTTTTATTTTATTTCCTTGTTCTCTATAAAACAAAAAACAGTTCTTTGAATAAGAATTATTAGCTTTTAGTTAAACATGAAATTATGTTTGTTTTAATCACAAACAATAGAATAAACTATTCCATTTATGCAAAAATTATAAAAGGTAAGCATGACATATTTTATGTAAAAGTAATTTTAATAAAAGAAACTTTCTAAAAATGTTATTCATGTTGTTTTCTTCTCATCATATCCTTAGCAATTGTTTTGTATTTGGTGTATTGCATTTTCATAGATTTTTCATATATAGCAACATAAATGTGTTCAAATGCAATGTATATTTTTTGTGATTTCAATTCATAGGGATGGGAAATACATTTGATATGTATCCAATGCAAGACCTTAACATAAATGACAGGAAATATACCTGAGTTCAACTGAACAACACTGAAAATTTTAAGGTACTGGGAAAGAAATAAAGATATAGACAAGAAATAAAAAGTAAGATCCATCAATTATTATTTCTGTGTAGCAAGACCAGAGATATCAAGGTTAAAATTATGTGAGAAATTTATAAGTGAAATGTAGGTAATTTGTTTAATTACTGAATCAAACAGTTAAAAATACAGTGTATTGGGGCCTCAAGAAATGATATAGCAGTTAAGAGCACTTGCTGCTCAAGAAAAATTTTAAGTTCAATTTTTAGTACTCACATCATGTGACTCACAATAGTTTGTAACTCCAGGTCCCGAGGAGCTATTGTCTTCTTGAATGAACATGCACACACACACACACACACACACACACACACACACACACTAAAATATAATGTTTTGTATTTAGGATTTAATTGTATCTATGACTTTCATTAACTAGGTTTGCAATACTATGTATTTATCTATAAAAGGGAGACTAGGGTATGGCATTTTCAGGAAGAGAGAGGCCACATGTAACAGGAAAAGCATCTAGAATTTATAGCCATAATGACCCCAAATTAATTTAACAAACCTAGTAACTTTCACATTTTCTTTGCCAAAAAACCCTATTTCAAAGGCTACCAGGAAAATGCATAGACAACCCTTAGGTCACCAGACTACTGGCCTTTGGCTTGGCTGACTAGACTAATTTAACTGTGCTGTTGCTACTTTTCAATAATTTTTTCAGACCCATTTCTTTAAATTCAGCTGTGATATCAAGGACACTGCAACACACAACTCAGTGCTGCCAGCAGTCTGAGTAGTCTTTTCAAAGGTCCCTAATGAGGTGAAATGGGATTTGTTTTTCCTTGAATTTCTTTGGAAATTTCATATGTGATACACTGTATTTGCATTCTTTCCATCCTGCTTACCAAGTCCTCTCATGTCCTCTCTAACCCCCCCTAGAATTTATGACTTTTTCTTTCTCCATATAACACCTGAGTCCAATTAGTGTTTCCTTATTTGTATTCATTTAGAGTTGAGCCCTTAGGATTTGGGTCTCAATCCTGAAATAAAGAATTATAAATTGGTTCTCCCTTTCTCCACAGCCACCGAATGCCTGTGGTTCTTCATCTAGGACTGGGACCTAGTGAGACTTTTCTCCATCCATGCTGGCATGCCCATCATTTGGTTTTTGCAAGTCTTCAGTGCCACAGAAAAGAATCAGGGTGAGTGAATATGATGTTAATTTGGAATTTATTAAGGAAATATTTTATTAGATATTTAAGCACAGATATAAAGTATAGATGGGAAGAAACATGCAATAAAAAATAGTTGTTATGCCTTTAAATGTCCATGGACTCTTGAAGGTAGGACTATGTTCTCTTTTGTTTTTTTTTAACATAAATTTTTTAAAATTTTTTTTCAGTTTAAATTTAGATAAGAAACAAGGTTGCTTCACAAGTCAGTTCCAGGTCCCTCTCCCTTTCCCTCCCCTCCTCCCATGCCCTTCCCCCAAGCCCCCTCATTATCCCCCCATTTCCCCAGGAAGGGTGAGGCCCTCCATGGGGGTGTCCATAGTCTGTCATTTCATATAGGGCAGGGCCTAGACCCGTCCCCAAGAGTTCAGGGTGAGAGTGCATCTCACATTGTTGGATGGGAATCCAAAGTCCGTGTGTATACTCGGGATGGGTACTGATCTGCTGCCCAAGGCTCAATAGGTTCCCTAGGCCTCCTCACTGACACCCACATTCAGGGGGTCTTGATCAGTCCCATGCTGTCTATTTTGTTTTTAATAGTTACTTGAAATTTAAACCACGTATTTTAAATTCTTACAGCAGTTATCTTTAACCTCATTAAATCTAAAATTAAGTACATTCATTTGACTATCAAAGTACGATAAATGTACGCCATATAGTACATTTAAAATTCCCAGATCTATATTTCTAGAACTATTCAGTCTTTTCTACATGAATATAAGTTCATGGATAGTTACTGATGGAGCATTGTAACTGGTCTCTTTGCCACCTTATTCGTTCCCTGTACCAATGAGCATGATACATTTCAAAGCTGTGTTAGATCTCCCCTTTCCGAAAACCCTCTATTGGTTCTCCAACTGTTACAGCACAAAACCCCATGTTGTTACACAAGTACTGTTCACAACTCTGGGAATCCTGATCATTCATTTCTGCAAGCATGTCACCCTTCTTGTCATGTCATTGTTCTCACAGTTGTCTTCCTATTCTTCATGGAGCATGCAAATATTTTGTCATGTTGAGAACTTGGAATTTCCCAGAATCCCTTTTCTGAGACATTTAAAAGACTAATTTTTTATTTCAGCCAGGTCTCTGATCCCCAGCTCTTTTATGTCTGTGATGTGTGTTTGTGTGTGTGTGTGTGTGTGTGTGTGTGTGTGTGTTTTCCAGACTATTCATAGCTATGTGATATTCTGAGTGGCTAACACCTGTCTCATCTTATGAGTCCCCATCTGGGCTGGTGACAGTAGGATTTTTTGGTGCCTGTGAAAGTTTTTATGAACTTAGCAAAAACTAGAGCTTCTTTGGAAGAGGGAGCCACAATCCATGATTTTCTTCTATCAAATTGGCCAGTGGACAAGTAAATGGGGGCATTTCTTGATTAATGACTGATGTTAGGGCCCCCAGCCCACTTTGGGCAATGCTGCACCTGAACAAGTGGTCCTCGGTTGCATAGGGAGATCAGACTGAGCAATCAATGGAAAGCATCCAATAAGCATCAATCCTCCACGGTCTTTGCTTCAGTTTCTGTTTCCAGTTTCCTGCATTGAATTCCTGCTCTGGCATCCCTCAGTGATGAATGTAACTTGTAAGCCCAATAAACCCTTTCCTTCTCAACTTGCCTTTGTCACTGAAGCAGAAACCAGGGCACTTCCTTAGACCAGGATTGTTGATTCTGCACCTGGTAGGCCCTCGGCAAATTTGTTGAAGGCTATTTGAATTTATTTTAAACTGTATTAATCTCTCATCTTTAATCTCAGTGACCATCACTAGTACTTTTATTTTGCTTTATGCATTTATCACTTGAATTACACTACTGACTATTTCTTTCCCAATAAGAAGGCTTGGCTACAATATTTTCCAAATCTTTATAACTTCGGAATGTCTTCTGCTGCTTTCATATTGGAACAGTAAATTGGTTGATGTGGAATTCTCAGGTCACAAACTTTTCCAGTAAAGGACTGTGTGGATATTCTTTGCTGTCTTCTGGCACCCACTTATCCAGAAAGAGAAATCTGGATACAGCCCAAATTCTGATCTTTCACAAGTCATTTTGTCTCCTAACTTGGGTACTAATATTTCACTTACTATCTTTCATTTTTTTCTGGGCTTATGAAGTTAGTCTTTATATTCACAGACTTGAATTATATTTCAGAAAGGATTTTTTCTATTTAATATATGATTGTTGCTTGTTCTATTACTCAGATGTCTTTCTAAACAGGATTATATTTATTGGAGTTAGTAAATCTCATCTGCCCTCTCTAATATCTTTTTTGAAAATAATTTTCTGCCTGTGTGAAGACAATACATAACTTAGTTGTCTTCTTTTCTTTGCAGTACTCAGGATTAAACCTAGGGCACCAGGCACATCAGCCTAGCTATAGTCAATAGTTTATGATAAGAACTTTATAAAATTTAATCCCATTTTTAAAATGAGATGATTTGATCAAAAATGATAAAATTAAAACTATAATATACTACTTCTGTTCCTGATATCCATCTTACTAAGCCAGCATGTCCACCTTCAGTCTGCTGTAAATATTGACTGACATCTTCTCCACACTTCAGTCTTGACACCTGTGGATAGTATGCTGTGTGGTGTTAGAACCTGTGTGTGAGTCCTCATGCATTTACTACAGTCTTTGTTATTTCCCTGTAACTGTGTGCCTTATGATTTTTAGATTCAGTTTCTTTAAAATTCATGTTTCTTTCTATTAGGAGAATTTAGAGACTCACCAATCACTTCATTTAAAACTATGACTTCTACTTGTTGACTTTGGGTACAAGTAAAATAACAAGGAATTATTATTGGAAGGAACAATGGATGATAATGATTGGGGGAAGTCAGATTTCTTCATAGTAGATTCTATTTAACACAATTATGGTAAGGCAGAATAAAATTGCCATTCAGATGACCTACCCTGCTGCTCTTCCTAGCATTAACTGTGAGTAGATTAATAGAGTAACCATGGCCAAGAATGCTAACCAGAGACTGTGGTACAATAATGAAGAAACATTAAGATACACAAACTAGGGATTTCCTATGATATTTTATTGAGGAAGAAATCACTTACATGAGAAACCAAGAAAGCTGAGAACCAAGGTCCACACACTGCTCTCCAGGCAGAATCCAAAGAGAAAGAGTCTCCTCCCAATAGCTCTTTTTATCCCCATATGTTCTACATACCTGTGAACATACCCAAATGAGCATGGTCAACGTTATGGGTACATAAGATCTTTCCCTACAATTCCCCTTTTAGTCTAAAGAAAATACCTAGACTTAAAAAAACTAAATTTTATCAATATAAACATATATAAAGCATATATACATAGAAGATGATAACTTATAATCTACCTATATCCTATCCTAAGCATATCTATCCTATCTAAACCCTAAACTTAATCTGAAAGAGATGCCCAAGTCTGAACACCTCCTTCCAATCCCAACCCTAAATAACTGAAAACTAACTCTAACAGATGTAATGTCAACAGTAGGGAAAGGGTGCATAGTATACTCAGAATTACTTTCTGCTGAAATGGGATGATGATAACCTCATGGGATCCTGTAGGAAGAGAAGATTAGTGTAGTGAAAGTCTCAAGTGGACAGGCTACAACATTTGTACCCAGTCTCTGTTTGGTGGGAGATGCTTGATTGAAATTCTTGACTGAAGTTCTAATCTTGATTGAAGCTCTTGTCTGAGGCTCTGACCAGACCAGAATGTAGAAGGTGCACCCTACCAGTTAATTAGTTTGGAGTTGTGTAGAGTGATGTAGTCCCAAACCAGTTTCAGGATGGTACTTGTCAGTTCAGATGCATCAAGTTTGATCAGGTAGAGTCGATGATGTAGAACCGTATTTTCTTTCCAAAGTGTTTGAAGATTGCTGTTAGGAAATTTCTTGTTCTCTGTAGAAAACTCAAACATTAATGTCAACAAAGAAATCTCAACTTTTATATGTATGTGTGGGAACACCAGACCTTGAGCAGAGACCCACTTCCCCTTCTGCCTGGGAGTAGGCAGCTGTAAGACAATGTTTAGTAAAAACATGTTTACTAAAAACGATACAATAAGTTCCTGGGAAAGGCCTTCCTACGGAAACCGCCCTGACCTCGACCTTGTCCAAAGACTAACCGCACCTTCAAAAACCCACACACATCCACCTCTGGTGTCAGAGCAGAACCAGCCAGGGTAGAGGAGAGAGCAGAAGCTTCTCTGGTGGGAGCTTTTCTTAGGAGGTTTTCTTGAACCTTTTTGGAGCCTGTTTAAAGTTTTCTTTATATCATTGAACGAGTCTCTGTGTTGTCAATCCCCGACACCCTCCGCACGTTCTCGGACACAGGCTGCGCAGCAGACGTGACATGTATGCATACTGGGAAAGGCAACAATAAGGAAGATAGTAAATATGAAGGAAATTAGACTTTCAGAGAAGAACTGAGTATAAACAGATGACAGTCCCTAGATTTTGTTTTCTTCTGTCTTACATTAATTGATTCCTTGATATAATACAGAAACTATGAATTTTATTTTAACAACAGGCTTGGATTTAGAAGAGGAGAGCCAAATCCAACTCCAAAGCCAGTGTTGGTTTAAGTGAATTGGGACCAAAAGAGTATCAGGAAGTAAAAGGAAATAGATACTATAAGGACAAAGTTAAAGAGAATTAGACATTGATACCAAACATTAGATTCTTCTTTGTTTGATGGTTCTTTGGGTAGCCATCCTCTCTTCTTTAGGTATCTACACATTCAGTATTGCTTCGCTGTTTGGAGATGGGTTTTCCTGTGAAGACAAAAACAAAACACTTCCCTTTCCTTTTGAGTGGTCTCCTTACACCTTGTAGAATATGACTTTGTGGATGAGCTGTCATATGCCCTCCTCTCGACGTTACTCCTATTTGGATTGAATCTTGATCAGTTTTGATAGAATCTAAAGCTCTTCTTCTCCTGTGGAAACAAAGGCAAAACCCCTTCCCC